TTGCAATATTACCAAATCAAGGCATAGTAGTGTTATGCTTTTGTGTAAGTTTTGCCAAGAAAAACTAAGTAAGGAGACCTAAGGAGAACTCCAGGTTGCCAGGAGAACTCCAGGCCAGTAAAAAGCATAAGATAAAAGCTATCTTTAATTTAGAACAAAAAAAACTTATCATAAATTGTGAAGTAAAGGAAATGGTTTTTTCCACAGTTTTATGCCAATGTATGATTTTTTAAAAATTTGAAGTTCTGTTAAAAGGACTTCATTCCATCAATTGACCAACAAAATGTTTATAGAGGCCTTCTTTCTTGAACATCTTCCTTTAAAGTGTGTTGTGATGAGAAATCTGAGACCGTGGGATCTTCAGTGTTTCAGAGTCAAACAGATGTTAGTGATTTTTCACTTTCCTGGAAGCTCTGGTAAAGAGCTTTCTGCTACAGCAATTTTCTGTCAAAACATGGATTTGATAAAATGTAACTTTTTGTAGGAAGATATCGGTTTCATTTATGTTTTCAAGAAAAAGCTATCAAAATACTTTATTCATGGTTGACACTAGGATATTAAGAGGAAAACCATAAATCAAAACTAAACATCTGACACTGTCAAAATATTTTATTTGTCAGTTGTTTCAGAGCTCCCGAAATAAAAATTGCAGAATTTGTGTTTTTGCAGAAAGTGTTGACTTCTTATTTCTATTTGAAAGGAAATTTCAGAATATCTGTTTTTTTTTCCCCTAGGTCAGCATGATTTTTTTAGGGTGGGTTTTTTTTTTGGCTAACTTTTTACATGCTTTGGTTAATGAAATTGTTTTCATGGAGGCTGTCAGACCAGGAGTCTCCAGAGTCCTCTGCATTTGATAAAAAGCTCTTGGAACGCTGCTTACTTGAAGAACGACTCAATGCTTCCCAATTAGTGGAGTTATCAAAGGCTCTGTAGAAAAGCAATGCGAGTTCTGAGCATCTTTGAAAATGTTAGCTGAATTTCTAATCAGGACTACAGACCGCTCTTAATTCTGCAGCGAGCGGTACTCCATCCTAACCAAACCAAAAGGGCTGCTCCACAGTGGTACTGCCGTCCATCTAGCAGTGTGTGCAGTTGTTAGAGTCACAACCAGCCTGGCCTAGGCTGGCACTGGGACAGAGGGCCAACAAAATGTCGCGTCTGGAGTTCTGTCTTACTCCCTAAACAGTGCCCTTCTTCGTGTCTTAGAGGCTATGGATTTGGTATGAGATCAGATGACTGGAAATAACTGCTATTTTTTTCCCAGGGTCCAGATGTACTATCTTTTAAAAATGGACTGTGTGTGAATTGAGCTTTAAGAACGTGGTCATGTGACAGAGATTACAGTTGTTAGGTTTATTTATCAAGGATTTCTATTTTTAAAGAAGCTTACGAATCCATTATAGTTTGCAACCTAAATATAAGAACTTAAGATGAAAAGGCACAGACCAAAAATAATGAAGCAGGAAGAAGCTGTATGTTCCAAAGTATGTTCCTGAGCAATGAGAATGTTTTATGAAATCCAAATGAAACTTCTTCCTGGAAATACTGTTTCTGAAACAACAATGAGCAGCCCTGACTGCTGGGGAAGTAGAACAAAAGTTCTGATTCTTTATAGCCCTCCTCTTAGAGGGCAGTTTGAAATGGATTGCTAATGGCAAAAAAACCCTGCCATAAAACACAAGTCTAAAAGGCAGTAAATGATGTGCACATCTATGCACAGAAATGTAAACACAGTAAAAAAAAAAGTATTGCATATGGTTTTGTGCATTTATAATATTTAAGGCTAATGTGGTAAGAATGCCTGAAACACTAAAATAATTTAGGAGTTACTCAAAGCTGTGGCAGTAATATAGGGTGGACTATTTTCTTTTGATAATGTGACCTGACATTGCAGAACTGTTAATGTATGTCATACGCTGCGTGTGAAGAATTTGCCTGCCTTTTGTTTGTGCATGATTCATTACTTTTACTAATCATTAGAGTCATAACACATTAGTAACAGTAAAATTAATAACTAATGACAGTATGATCTCAGTACTTCTCTTCGCAATTATCAGGGTTGCTTAGTATGCCATCTGTGTCACAAGCCACATCAATACCCAGCCTCCCTCCTGACACTGTACTTACGCTGCGTCCGAGGGTGGAGGCTAACAAACTCCTCCTGCACTGCTGTATCTTTGCTCCCATCACTTGTTCTTTGGTCTGTGCTGCTCTCAGAACCGCAGGACTGAGCAGTAAACCAGCTCAGGGAACAGAATGGTGTTTAAACTTGTTTTTTTCTGCTTGTTTCCCTTCAAACTGAATTGATTTGGTGTTTTGTGTAACTGTTGGGTCACAAAAACCAGAAGGGTCTCAGGAATAACAGGCAGCAGGTGGGAAAGACATTGTGATGAGAGCTGCATATGCGTGCACTGTTGTTGGCAGAAATAGTGGTGGAAATGCAGAGCAACTCAGATAAAGAGCTTAAAAAACCCCTAGACCATTAAGTATTCTGGCTGTGATTCAGATGTGTATTCCTTCTAAGGTAGAAATTTATTATCTCACTCACAAAGTTCCATTTGGTTGTTCCCTAGGATTATGGCATTTAATTGTCCTGCTTCATCTTAGTAAAATAATAAAGCTCTTTTACACCTCTGTTAGAACTAATATAATCTTTCTTTTCCTGAAAACAGACCTGTTTTTATCCAGTGGCATAGAAACTGGTGCAAGAATGAATTTAGACCATAACACAGTGGGAATATTCTAAAGACAAATGGCTTAGTAAGAAAGACGTTTATATTCTAAAAGGGGTTTTTATGTATTATAATTTGTACTATAAAAGATCCTTGAAAATAATGCATATATTTTATTGTCAATAAATTAAAATTATATACTAGATACCTATGGAAATGAATGGTACAATAGCACAAGTCTAGATACGGCTCAGACAGAAAGATACTGATGTACATATCCAGGATGGCCAGGAAATCTTGAAGAAATGCTTGAACCTGCCATTTTGTCAGGTTCAAGGCTCCAGGGAAGTCAGCTAACTTTTGTGCGAACACATTATCTACCTGTATGGAGTCATTTAGGAGATTAAGACTAGTAAGGCATAGGAGAGCATGGCTTTTAAATGAGTAATTGTATGGGACAACGCTTTGTGACAGTAAGTGTTGGTGGAGTTAATTCGGGCTCTGTCATTACGTGGTATTTGACACTGACCAAATCGCAACCTCCTTGCCTCAGTTTCACCACACGGCAATTAGATTACTTGATTAATTTAATCTTTACTAATCCTGAAGATTACCATAAGCATGTGCTTCTGAGGATTAAAACTTAATCCTCAAAGCATACTTGCGAAGAAACTCTGGTCGTAACAAAAAATGTAAACTGAACTTCAATTAAAACAAAAAGTAGCTAATTATGCAGTATTCAGTTTTATTTCAAGATCGTTCTTTGGAGTAATCCAAGGATGAAGTCAGTAGAAAAAAAACTGCCAAAAAAAAAAAAAAAAAGGAAAGTACTGGTAATTGAAAACGGCCTTAGAGTGCTGTGGAATGAGACTTGCCCACAATTGCTCCACTTCGGGAAGGCTGATAAGAATCCAGTACCTCAATAATAATAAAGACACGCCTGGTAAAAATTAAGAGGCATTCAATTATGAGGCATTCTCATTAAGGTGCCTGGAAACATCCCTTGCGGAGCTGTCAGCCGGTATAATCGTCTCTTTGTTAGGGCTGGGGAAGTTAAAGACTTTATTTTGCTTTATGGTCTCATTAGTCAGCCTATCGCCAGCTCTATTCTTACTTCTAAGCGGCGGTAGCCGGAGGGATGGGGGGCGGAGGGGGAGGGCGGGTGTCTTCGGACCGCGGTAAAACAGAGGCGCCGGGTGCCGGCTCCCTCAAACCCATCCCGAGCGCTGCCGCTGCCTGTCGTGTTCTGTTCTGTGTGACAGCTCCCACCGGCGCTCGCAGGGCAGTTTCGAGAGCGGGCGCTCCCCGCAGCCCCGGCGGCGGCACCTCCCCTCGGGGCGCGACCGTCCCCAGCGCCCCGGGGCTCCGCCTCAGCTTCCCCCGCGGCGGGGCCGGCTGCTGCCCGGCGCCGGAGCCGCCTTCCCGATTCAGTCCCGGCGGGGAAACAATGACTTGTTTTCGCCGCCTCGGGGCTGCCCCCGCCTCTCACGTTTCCGGGCCTGCGGCGCTGCCCGCTCCGCCCCCCCCCGCCCCGGGCGCCCTCACAGACC